TACCATCATTAATTAATGACGCTAATGCTATTATTAATTAATATCATTGTAATATTAATTACATTAATGTAAATAGTTATTATTATATATAATATAATATATATATATATATATATATATATGTAATATATCTAATTATATAGCGGAATAAATAATTAATCGGCTGGATGTGAATGGATTTCGGTCATTAATTAACGATGCTAATGATGTTATTAATGTCATTATAATATGAATTACGTTAATGTAAATAGTTATTATTATATATAATATATGTTATGTATAATTATATAGTACAATAAATAATTAATACGATTAATGTTAATTAATTACCATCATTAATTAACGGCACTAATGCTGTTATTAATGTCATTATAATATGAATTATGTTAATGTAAATAGTTATTATTATTATATATAATATATATATAATTTATCTAATTATATAGCGGAATAAATAATTAATCCGATGGATGTGAATGAATTTCCGTCATTAATTAACGATGCTAATGCTGTTATTAATTAATATCATTGTAATATTAATTACACTAATGTAAATAGTTATTATTATATATCATATATATTATATCTAATTATTTCGTACAATAAATAATTAACACGATTAATGTGAACTAATTACCATCATTAATTAACGATGCTAATGCTGGTTTTAATTAATTTCATTATAATATGAATTACGTTAATGTTAATAGTTATTACATTTAATGTAATATATATAATATATATAATATATAATATAATATATATATAATACATATAATTAAATAACAAATAATTAATACAATTAATGTGAATTAATTGCCATCATTAATTAATGATGCTAATGCTGTTATTAATACCATTATAATATGAATTATGTTAATGTAAATAGTTATTATATCTAATATATATATAACATATATAATATATCTAATTCTATAGCGGAATAATTAATTAATCGTCTGGACGTGATTGGATTTCGGTGGTTAATTAATTAATTCTGCTAATTGCCGTTATCAGGTGGACATCATCATCTCGGAGCCCATGGGGTACATGCTGTTCAACGAGCGGATGCTGGAGAGTTACCTGCACGCCAAGAAATACCTGAAACCCAGCGGTGAGGGGGGCTTTGGGGGGGCTGG